TCTCGCCGCTAGCACCGGGCCGTGCCGGCGGTATTTTCTTCTTTTTTTTCGTATTACAAGTCGTAATGTCTCGGTGTTTTTTACGGTTTAGCACGGTGACCGGTGACAGGCAAGTTGGGATCGCGTCGAGCTGGCTTTTCGACTTCCGCGAGACATTGTAAACCGGCATTGGTCGGCGATATTAACAAAATCCTCGCGAGCCAACTCCCGGCAAATTAACGTCGCCGAGAAAGTCAGGCATTCGCCACGAACGAGACAATTTCTGAAGCGGACTGCGAACGACTTCGAGCGACGTGCTCGGAGACGGGGGAGTTTAAATAAATTATTCCTGAGAGTTACAAAACGGTAAATGCCTCGTGCCTTGTGAGTCTCGGCATTAGTATGTCCCTTTGCAGCGCGGGAGAAGCGACTGCATGAACATTAAAGAAGCGTCCTTGTATAGCATCTCCCCGTATTCATGAAAATTCCAGACGAGCCATTTGGAGGACGACTTTCTTAGGCATCTCGTTAAATACGTATTAAAGTCTGCAAATCTTTACCATTACCGCGTCGCAGGTATACTTCTTGGACAACAGTTAGTGACCTGGCGGACGAATAATTTCTTCCAAGCACGCGAACTGTCAGAAAACTACAATATTTCTTATACAGAGAAATTGCGACCAGTAATTCCAAAACCAATGGAAATGATAAAAGTGGAAACAGGAAACGATAAAAGTGAAAATGATAAAAGTAGAAACGGGAAAAAATTTGCTCTTTCTCTCTCTCTCTTTCCTGTCTCTGTCTCACCATGTCCAATTTTTAAAAAGTCTACGTAAGTACCGCGTGCAATACGTTAGCCATGAACCATTTCGTACACCTAGGTTATGTTAGGTTGAAGGCGTTGAAATTACGCTCAAAAAATTGTCTTACACAATTGTTATATATCACGACATAAATTGTCGTTCGTTGGGCGTAACACGTTGCACTGCTAGCTCGCGGGAGAACGCGAAATCGCAAATTTCATCGTCAGCGCCTGACATTCGAAAAAGAAGCTCGACACGTGTCACTCATGTGTCTGCTTCAAAGCGTTAACTAAATTACACTATGCGATATAAATTAATTATAATTTTTTCCGCCGAATAAACGTGACAAGTTAAAAAGGAAGCCATACAATTTTCTCTTCTTGTGATTGGTGATAATTTAAACGAAAAAAAGAGGAAACAGGGAACAAGAAGCGGAATTTCAAGTATCGTCGATCAGCCGGCAATCTTCGGGTATGTTTCAGGCGCGAGATATTCGTGAGATAATCGATCGCGGGACTCTCGCCTCCGGCAGAGGGGGAGGGAAGGTTGGGAGTGGGTAGGATACCTCGTCGCGCCCTGATGAAATCCCCGAGAGCTCTTTTCATGCTAATAAGATTTCGCCGGTCGCGCCCAATGGATACGCGCTAGAGCGAGGGGTAAGGGCCGCCGCGTTCGACTCGGAGGAGAAAGAGAAACGGTACAAAGGGAAACGGCGTCTCGGCGTTGCCACGCATCGCCCGCCGGTGCTTTTGTCGGCTCTTCTAATTCGATATTTTGGGCGCGATGAGCGCGGCCGCGGGCGCGAGAGGCAACGAGTTTTCACGAGTGGGATTTAAAGCCACGCGATCCCGCCGATGGAGAAAAGTCCGAAGAGATTAATTTTCATTTCTGATCCACTATACCCCCAACGCGGAAAACGAAAGTCCCCCGAGTCCTAAATATCCTAAGGTGATAAGAGCGGTGCAAAGGGTGCCTTCTAAGGTAGTCGGTCCGCAAATTTATATTTTCAGGAATCTCCTCAAACTTTAACAGCATATTAATCGAAAAACGATATATACACGTGTAAAATTAGAAAGAAGTTCGACCGTACAGAAGCTGAGATAATTAACCTTGACAGTAACACATTAAGCCTACGAAACTTGCGATTTCTTTCGCTTACTTCTTTTCCCACGTTTTGCGCAAGATATTATACTTCACTCTTATCCCTCTATTACTTAGAAAAGAAGTCGAATTCATATGACCACTGCTATTATCAGCCTGATCTAATGAGAAAAACTTGTTTCCAATAGTGGCAGCCAGTCTATAAAGCAATAAATACAAATTAGTATATGTATATACGAGGGTGGATCAAATATAAACGAGCCTTCTGCAAAAAACCATATATTTTTCAAAATCAATTCTAATTTACATTTTTCTTATTTTTCTATATAGTCCCCCATCTTATCTATATACTTCCTCCAACGGTCTGGTAATTTTTTTAATCCCGGTATCATAAAAAGTTCGCGGACGTCCAATCATCAAACCAATTGCACACGAACTGCTGCACCTCCTCGTTCGTTGTGAAGCGCTGTCCACCAAGGGCTTCCTTGAGTGGCCCAACTATATGGAAGTTAAGTAAGACTTAAACAGTAAGGATGTTGTATTGTTACGGATCATCTATTTTAAATTAAAAGCCCGGTCTTGACGCTCCTGAGGACGGTCAGTCTTGACGAATGTAAGGTCCCGTGTTCGTCATCTGCGTGTCGGACATGGCCGCTCCCATCAATCTTCATATCGTCGAACGTATTGCACGTCAGCCGGAATTTTCCTGTGATCCATCGGGGGCTTTATCATGAATTCGCGCAAGTAAATCCACGTCTTCCCTGATGAATACCGGTGCCGCCGTCGTGTATCGTGCGCATAGTGCATACGTGATCGCATTTCGGCCACCACGCATTGTCGTGTTAAATGGAAACTGCCATCGCGCCGCACCTCTCGCGCTGGTCTCCGGTGAATTCGACCAAGTGCACCGTCCGCTCGATCGATCTGAAGGTATTGTCCGGCGAGGAAAGTCGAGAAATGAGGAAAATGATAAACGAGAACTATGGGAACGATCCGCGATATTGCGAGTCGGTCGTCGACTCCCGTTTCCCGGCCCCGGTGTAAAACGATAAATTAAATCGCACTTGTAAATGCGCACGGCTACCGGATTATAAGTTTCCTCGTCGCGCGCGTTCGCCGTAATGTTATTAGTCCCGAACGGTGTAAAGTATTTTACATAAATGAATCAGGTGTCGCGCAAAGCTCTTTATATAAGATAGCACAATGATGAGTTCCGAACTACCTTACAAGTGAAAATCTCGCAAAAATCTACTATCGGAATTAATTCCGATTGTATATTGTTCTCGTGCGCGCGTCTGCCTTTGAAATCATTTTTCGGTCGTATATCGGTCGATCAAAGATCCGAGGGGGGTTCTTCTCGAGTTATGCGTACCGGAAAGATAACAAATAGCAATTTTATCGAATCTACGTAACGTTTCAACTTATAGAATATATCTCCAATATTCTGCTTTTATCTCGATATTTATTCAACACTGAAATCAAATAATCACTTTGAACCGCGCTATATCTCGGGTTTAGCTTCAGAGATTTTGCCGCTAGAAATAACGCTGTTGCTTCCATCAGCAGTGAAAGAAAAGCACTTTACGCCGTTATTGAACAAACAACGGATATGTACTTAATACCCGTGCGCTCGTTTCGCGAATGTGTGCGACTGTTTGCACACATATATGTAGTAAGCTCTACGTCTGTACACGGAGACTGTTTATCGAATGCAACCAGCGTGACATATCGATCCAACATCGAACGCTTGCATTGTACATAATTCGTCTTCATTAACCGCCAGTGCTGTTATCTACCGATATGTAATTCATAAGGTTATAATCTATGGAAGTTTCATTATGTCCGATTGTTGAGATGTCACGTTGTTATATTTTCGTCTTACGTTATGTGAAAATCGTTATTTGTAAGAGAGACCAAAGCTTATTGTCACATTTTTTACGTACTGATTAAAAAAACAAAGATGTATGCAATATTTCACAATATCATGTACATTTTAACGTAACTACATCCTATGGCCTTTATAAAAAATATTAGCTTTATATATATTTATGCACAAAAAGTTATTTAGGTCTAAGCAAAATTATGAAAATAGGATAACTGATCCCATATCTATGGTCGGTTGTCATATATCTTTCATATATAAAAGAAACAAGATATATTGTTTGTTTCAACAATAATGTTTTTTTCATATTTTATTAAAGTTAATATTATCACATAGTCAAGATGCAATTTCACCTTCACCCGTTTTTCGGTCGCGCTTTCGAGCTACGGCAGCCGAAAAAACTACCAACGTCTACTTAAAACCTTTATATTTATGAACGTAACTTCTTAATCTAACCGGATAACTTGATTTTAATAAGATTCGATGATCCATGCTTCCGTAAACGTAAGCTTAAACTACGTCACAACAGTTTTTTTTTTAATCAACTTTCTTCGAACGACCATTTTAAATAAAAGGAATTATACTTCTAAACAGTGTTACAATAACGATTAACTAAATGAAAAAGAAAATTAGCTAAAACTACGATATTTTTATGAATTTTTATGAGAAATTGCGACCGATAGTACTAAAACCAACGGAACAATACAAATAGAGACGGAAAAAATGTACACACCACATTCAATTTTTAAAAAGCGTTTGTAAATAGCACATACGATGCGTTAGCCATGAGCCATTTCGCACACTGACACGATACCAGCAATCTGCGTTGTAGAGAAGAATATATGCTCTTTTATTTATTAAATGAGATATAAGTTTTGTGACAACTAACCTGTGTGACTTCTAACCTTGATTTCTCTTCCCTATTTATACGAACGTAAAATTTTGCAAAAAGCATGCATCGAGTAATTCGTAATACGACGATGCGTAATACACATAATATATTATCCTATTACTTATAATTAAATTCACAGCACGATGTAACTTTAATATTATCCGGTTACACAACGTTCACATTTTTCATTAGCTGGGAAATTGTTCGCGAAAAGCGAGGGGCTCCCTCGATTCTGCATCGGTGTCTTTCAATCGCACAAGCGCTACGTCCATCTCACGTCCGCCGAATTCCCCCTCGAATCACCGCATGTTCCCTCACGTGTCGCGAATTTCTGCTGTTACAGACGGAGCTGTCGCAGAATCTGCAGCAGCTGTCGGAGAGGGCCCGCTCGACGACGGAGTTCATTCAAAGGCTCAAAGGAATGACGGATAAAGTGCACGTGAGTACGCGCGCCTTTGGCGTCCTTTTTAAATTCCATGGCGGCTACATCACGGTGCCGTTCGGCACCGTGAAAATTGCGAGGAGATATGGCGTTAATTACATCAACCCCCTTCGCGGGATGGGAGCGCCGGTACGGATTTATCTCTGATGGCCGAAGGGATAATTCGGAAACACAAAGGACACCGGTACGGCTTACGGCCGGTGAACAAAGCTCGATAAACCGACGGACGAGATTCCTTTTGATATCGTCGTTTGTTTCTTTCGCATTTGTGCATGAGCGTTATGTCGATCGATTTCGCATCGTGTTTCCTCGTAATTTTTCATATAAGCTTTGCCTGTAGAGCAGCGCAAGTATAAGAAACGCATAAAATCTTTAGTTAACAGTTAATACTTTGAGATAAGTCTAAAGTTGTGGTAAGATAGAAACTTGTACAGAACAAACTTCGGAATTTTCTTACAACTCACTTGACTTATTAAAATTAAATATAATTATCAACCGATATTATCAACCGATCAGGTAGATCTACGCTTTTCTCAGTAATCGATGATCGATCGATTAACTCTGAACATTTGATGATTCCGGAAAAAAATCACACTGATCAACAAATAAAATCTTCTTTAACAACATGAACCAAATAAGGTAGTACTTAATTGTTTTTACTTACTGAATACAAAAATATCAAAAAACTCTATAGCACGTATAATCGGCATAATTAAATTTGCAACACTTTTTTCCTGATGAGTTTTGTAACAGTGTATGAGAGGATTCGTTTTTTAGTATCTTTCGGTGTATAATGAGAGGATTTGTTTTCTAATAATTATCAAGAAATACATTTTCCGCAATTGTGTGCATCGTGGTTTGCTTCGTGCCGCGTGCGACTGTGATTATCAGAGTCGAATGATTGTTTAATCGAATATCAGTTTAAAAGGTTAAATAAATTGGGTTATATTAATAGCACATTCGTAGCGTATGTGTACAAGTACTTATATAGCCTAAATACTTAAAGTGTTTCGTATATTTTGTTCAATCTCATAATGTAAAATGGAAACCAGAAAAAAAATCTTAGGAAAATGTTGGGAGGTGACCAAATACGATCTGTTTATGTTTCCCACTTAGAATCGTATGTTTGAAACATTACACTTGCAACCAGAACCCGCGTACGAATTTCCCAAACTAGAATCCATTATTATTTTGAGAAATCGGGCTGAAATCCCAAATTAGATCAAATAGGCAAGAAACTTTCTATGAATATCACGAAAACGTTGTCAAGGATATTATTTCCCGTTGCTATAAACAAAACTCGAGAGTAACCGTCTCTGTTAGCCGGCTTTCCCACCAAGAAGGCATTTTGCTAGAACGTTAACCTAAAGGAAAATCGCAACTTTATTATCCTCGGCATATCCTTCGAATGAAAACATTAGTCTCAGTAGACGATATCGTCGAAGCTCCGATTGTAACGAAATCAACAATCGGTCTGTTCGCAGGAGGAATGCGTGACGCTTGAAGAGGAAGTGGAGGATCGAGTGGCGAATCTAGTGAGCCTGCTACAGGCGAGAAAGTCGCGGCTGATCGAGGCCGCCCGACAGACCCGGGAGGCCAGGGTGCGCTCGCTGCGAGACCAGGTGGCGAGATGCGCCACTCACTTGCAGGCGACCACAGCGCTGCTCACCTTCTGCATCGAGGCGTTAAAGGAGACCGACAGCGCGGCCTTTCTACAGATTGGCGGCATGTTATCGGTCCGAGCGGCCACTGCTGCCGGATCCTGGGGTGGCGCCGAGGGAGTGCAAGAGATCGCTCGTTTGCCATTGTTGGATCTTACCCTGGATGACAAGCCGTTGCGCCGGGCTATCGATCAGCTCACCTTCGTCCAGCTCAAACGTAAGTACAGTTTAACGATCGATCGTGTTAGTGTTTGTCACGAATGAATTCATTTCGCATAGAACTTGAGTCGGAATTTGGTTCTACGTTGAACCTTTAATTCTACAAGTAGGGGCTCAGATAGCAAAATAGGTTCGATAATGCGTGAAAGTAGCATTAAAATTTCGATTTGGGAATTTTTCCACGAGCTCGAATATCTCGTGTTTAGAGATGCGAGGAAGGAAAAGGATACGAATCTTTTTTCCGTTTGAAGTAAAACAATTTGCTCGCGTGTTGTCGTTCGTTCTTAATTGATTAGACTCGCGGAGCAAGCAAGCAGAGAGTTGATTTAATAATTTGCTTTGAACGACAAATATAATTGCGGGATTTTTGTCGAATTTGTGATCGCAAATTGACAATCGCGAAATCCATTTTGACAAATCTCGGGAGTTTTAACATTTATAATCTGATTAGACGAAGCATTGGGGACATGAAAGCTATACAAACTCGTTCGAAAGACGTCTTCGTGCACGCTTAATTGACTCGTAGCTCCTCGTTTCACGACTACCGGGATTTACCGTAGGGCGAATTATCTTTACAGTCGCCGTGCTGATCGCGCAACTTTGTGCTTTGAACGGATCTTGTTCGCTGATAGTCGTTTACCTTTCAAATCGGCGAAACGAGAGTTTCACATTCTAGCGTAACTCGCCTGTTACAAATATCCCGCCTGTTACGAATAGATGGCTAATAATGAGATTATTAGATTTCCGCGCATGTAGATACAATATTTAATTCTATTAGATATTATATTATATTAATATAACTATTAGATAATATATAACTATTAGATACTATATTAGATACTATTTGATTCTAATAGATGCAATATTAAATTCTCTTTCTTGGCAATTTTTTACGAGTATAAATTTTTCACAATACGTGCTTCTTTATGAACCGATCGATTAATTGTTTACCGTCAAATTTGAGATATTAGAGCCAACGAATAACTGCATGCGAAGAATTAATAGTACATTGAATCTGCGCGTTTCGCCTGCCGAATAATAGATATCCCGCGACTGCGCGAATTACCCGATGAAAACTAAAAATAGGTAAACGCCCGAATGGGCTTTCGAACAAGTTTTGTTTGTCGTTGTGTCTGCATGTGATGTAACTGAAAATTTTTTATCGAATTATATATCGTTCTCCTGTGTTGGACGCAGCGTCAGAAGGGGAGGAACGATTTCCGACAGCAGGTAACGAAGTACATATATATATTCGTAAATACTGGATATACGTTTGCGATGAAAGTAATGAAAAAAAAAGAGCGAGAGAAATAGAGGGGGGAGGGGAGGAAAAACGAGAAAAAAAGCAGCAATTAAGAGAGATAGAGGAGGCGTCGATCTTATCCGCCGAAGTCGTCTAGACGACCGGGAGATGACGAGGGGGACTCAGGCGAAGGGAACGGGCGGATGGGCGAGAAGGCTCGCTTAATAATTTTACGTAGCCCCCGGGAGCGGCTCCTTTAAGCGTACCTCCTTGCTCACCGCCAGCTTTGCCGTACGCTAAAACGTTTCAAAAGCGGATTAATTAGGTACCGGCTTTGCAGTAACTGCCGTAACGATCTGGAGGTATTAACTCGTTACAAGGACATCCTCTCCTTACCGTTCGCCGACTACACCGGCGCTCCGTTACACGGGTGGCCCGGGTGTTAAGGGTCGATGCCGGTCGGGAAATGTTAATCGCGTCTGATTAACGTGTTTACAGACATATGGGTAACTTAATAACGCTCGGTAGTTACAGGAATGTCGTGTTAAGGCAGACGTAGACTCCGTGAAATTCGATTTCGAGCCTAAGATTCGGAATTATTGATTTCGGACCGTCGATTCAGACCTTCGCGACAAAACTATATATATATATCATTTTTTTTTTTTTCAAAGATGTATATGTGTATCTCTGACGTAGGTAAAAATTAGTGGAGTAGGGACAAAGGAAAGAGAATTCATAAAAAGTATCTATGCTTGGAGACACATGTACACTCATCATCAGAGAAAGAATTAGCCGTCGGAGCTAAAATATAGCTTTAAGAAATAGCTAAGACAACTATGGAATAGTCATTTTGAAATAGGTGTAGTTAATTTCGTTACTATCGCGCAATTATTTATTAGATATTTGAATTTAGACGTTACAGCGAAAAATATTAGCTAGATTATACTAAAAAATCGTATATTCCCGACTAGGAATTTATAGTATTTTTTTATAGAAGCTGTGCTTAAGGTATTAGTGTATGCTGGTTTTGCCTAAAATCGAATTATATATTTAATCTATTATTAAACTATTAATGTGCTTGAAAAATACGCTTCAGTACTGATGGACTCGTACCGCAGACTTCTGCATCGTGAGTCAATCACTTTAGGTACAATGGCGTGAAGTATGCTGTCCCATTCCCTAAGCGTAGTAATATCGGAAATTTCGAATTAGGCGCATCATTTATGAATATTCGCACATCATAGCTGCTGTTTTGAAGCATCCTTGCCAGTTCACAGATTAATCAGCAGTGAATATTCGTGCATCAGCAGTCATGATGCACGAATATTAAAAAATGATACGCTTAATACGAAATTTCCGATTACCACTATGCCTAAGGATTGCCACAGTATTAACGTATGACAATGTATTACATCACTTCGTCGTTTGACATAAACATGTTTCGTATTGTCTATGTATAATGCAACCAACACAGATAACCAATCATAGCTATTCATGCCAATAATTTCATCTAATGAAGTTGTACCTTGCATTAAATGCACTTCACTTCTGACAGCCAAACTTTTTTAGCAATGACAGCAAAGTTCGAACTAGCTAACATTTTAATGAGTTTTAGCTGCTATTACTAAGTCATCTCTCTAAGTATATTCTAGGATTAAATTTACCGGTGAAGCTTCGCGCTCGTTGTTTTGACAGATTTTTCAGCGGATGTACACTCCGATTAGAATTAGTAAAAGCCAAGCTAATGAAATACAAATCTATTTAGCGAGGTCGAATAAACGGTTGCCATCGGTGGCAGGCGTGAACTTGGCTCTCTCTCTATCGTGACATTTCACTCGTAAGCAATCTTGATGCGAATCGTATGGCAATATCAGAAAGTTTCTTCATTACGCGCAGTTTGTTCGTCAAAGAGCGGCACGTCTCAGTTCGTTAAAATCTGCGATACTTGTCGGCAGTCACATGGAATTTCATTTACTTAAACCTGGGTTTGTAAATAGCGAAGCGAGGAATGCGCCGTGGAAACTTTCAAGTTGCCGAGAATTTCGCATAAAGTTCGCGACGAAATCGCTCAAGCTGTTTCAGGAATTTAACGAATGTAATATATCAGAAAAGTATACGCATATTCTTCGAGAGCGCGCGTACGAAAGTGAAGACTCTTTCGTCTTTTTATTTCTAGTGAAGTATAGATATTTGATTTAATTTGTAACAATATTTTTATATATCCATAATCTTTACAAGAAAACAATAGAAATCCTCTTGTTTCGTTTTAGTTCCTGTTGAAAAGAACCAAATGGGAATCCATATAAGAAATCCATGTGGAATCCTATAATTAAAGATATATTTAGATTAAACTTATTTATACTATTTTTTTTTTTAATTCTTCAATATCCTTACCATTTAAGAGATTCTAACAATTTTTTTCCTGCTAACCCAATATCTATCCCTCCTCATATCCAACCAGAATGATATTTCCTTTTTGCTTATGCCATTCTTCGAAGAATTCTTTAGAATACCCTTAGGGATTACGCCAAAAATCCAAGTTCTATGTAACAAACAACTGTGTGAAAAATATAGATTTCTATATAAATTTTCACATATTATGTATGGATTTCTATATCGATTTTTAATTATAATTAAATTTTAATATTCTATATGGATTCACAAGAGTTTATTTAGATTTTCGTAGAAGTGCACCTGGAAATTTTAAACAGGACTGTGATAATTCAAGTTAAACCACAGGTACGAAAACGGCTCCCGATGTCACGTTTTTAATTCTAGCAACCAATTTACTTTTATGATTTTAATGAAAAACGGGAAGATGATAAAAAAGACTTGTAGAAATATCATAAAAAAATTACGAGATCGTTAACCATTTAGTTTTCCAGAAACTGGTATATAAAGTACATAATTTCTGATAACGGTTGAAGTTTATGACAACCTATAAAGATTTGGCTATAAATTTGGCTGTAAAGATTTGACAATATTATATGCACTATATTTCCCTTTATGCCTCTTGGCTAGGCTTTTCTTTTATAAATAGAGAGAATAATTAAATAATAGAATAATTAATTAATAGAATAGATAAATAATCTTAAATATCTATAATTAATAAAATATAAAAATGTAAAATATAAAAAATACAGAAAAATATGGAAAAATCCGTAGTCACAATCATTTCTCTGGTAACGTACATTTATCTGCACATACATATCTATTGGAGTACATATAATATATTTGCAAACATATGCCTGTATAACACAGACAGTCTTAGCCAAAAGTATTGCACGTCGTATAAAACGTAAAAAAACGATTATTTCTTTACGGGTTTTTAAACATTATGCAAGTTTGATTGATATCCTCTTGTTGCAGTGTTAAAGCTGTATATTATAAAACATGTTTATAGATATTTAGCACAGATTTATCGAGCTTCTTTATGTCCTTATCTTTCTAACAGAATTGTCACGAATAAACAACTTTAATAACATGTGATTATCGAAAACAGCGCGACGAAATTTGAAGCTCAATTATTCTCGAAACTGCTTCGCGCCAAGTTCGTCGCCGACGAGGCAGTGATGAATATTCGAAAATCCGCGAACGCGGTTGCAACAGCTGCAGCTGCAACGTGGGAAATCGAATTAGCTCTTAGCACAGTCACGGCGGCGAACGGCGAGCGAGGCGAAAATGCGAAATTCATTTTCGTATTTTACGAGGCCGTTATACGCGCGCCCGCGCGCCCGTCCGGTGTATTTCGAGCT